GGGCTGCAAGAGAAGCTGCTGGGGCAGGGCTCGGAGGGGCCTGAACAAAGCAGCGATAGCATCTCCGACAACCGCTAGAGTGGTTCCTGGTCATTGCCAACCAGTGGTAGTGGTAGTGGTAGTGGTAGTGGAAGTGGTAGTGGTAGTGGTAGGCGCCCCCCCCCTACCAACTACACTTGCTGTAAACCATCTTAAGAGCACATCCGTTTTACTCGGTATTTACAACACTTTCGTCATGTACGATTGCAAACTCGGCCTCTTGATTTTGGACTTGCTTCTGGGGGGGGATGGGGGGATGACGACAGTGTTACGCAAACACAACCAACAATATCATCATAAGTGCCGTTTTACTCGGTATTTACGGTACTTTCATGATATCATATTTTCTGACATAGTTGCCACCCCTACTTCTGGACTGTGCGTCTCAAACTTTGGTGTCTCGAACGGCTTGCGGCGAAAACTCGAAATTGGGTGTGCGAAGCCTTTTCGTGGATGATCACGACACTGTTTCGCCCACACACCACCCCTCAAAAGAAACAAGTCCAAAATCCGAAGCGCCGTCAAAGCGGAGCGCGTCCTGGCCACAGGCTGCCAAACACGAAGCCAGGCCGCCTCGTCGACAGGATCAGTCCCCAGCCTCACCCGAAGCGGGCCCGAATGCCCAGAAGGCAAGGTGAGTGGGATGTCATAGGCCGCGCACAAGTGATTGCCAAGCCCCTCAAAGGTGTGCAGCATCACCGCCGACAAGCCACAGGAAGCCAACCCGAAATCCAGCCTCCGCAGGCGCCCCGGCCCAGTGCCCGGAGGAGCGCCCTGTGATTCAAAGCGCTCGTCCAAAGCCCTAACGTCGCTCCGAGCAGCAATGCGATGGGCTGCCGGGTCCTGGTCCAAAGCAACATTGAAATCCCGCAGCATAAGCCACTCACATCCGAGCAAACTGAGAGTGGCGAGAACCTCCACATGATGCTGAGTAGCCTGTGCACGGCAGGCAGCGTGACCGTAAGTATTGGCCACCACCACTTTGCGGACCTCATCGCGGAGCCTCACCTCAATCACACCGGCCACCACACGATCGGGGTTTGAAACACCCCGCAAGGGCACGCAGCGAAGCGGCGCCCGAGAGATGATAGCACACCTCCGAAAGAGACCACCAGCACCAGAACACTCCACCTCTGCACCTCCGATGACATGAAGGCCCTGGGCCCGGAACGCAGCAACCACCCTGGGCCATGACGCCGCGTTGACGCTGGCCTCCTGGATGCAAAGCAGGTCCAGCTCGTAGCGCTGAAAAGTCGAAGCAACCGCCAGCACCTTGCGAGCCAGGCCCTTATCAATATTCATTGTAGCAAACCTCATCCGACCACGGCCATCCTCCGCCGGGACCGTCGTCATGACTCCATAGTGCTTCGCCGGCAAGAAGGGTCGCTGCGACGCAGTGCAGCCTCGGCCGCGGTGGTGCGCTGCGCAAGGAGCTCATCCGGCAGTCCGTGCACACTCCTCCGCAAGAAAGCAATGGCCTTGGCCAAGCGGCGGCAACGAGCAGCGTGCGTGCCCTTACGGGGCCTGGTAGTGCAGCATCTACATGCTCCCACAAAGCCGCTTCAGCACGGTGGAGCCCGGGTCACTTAGCCAACCCCGAACACGGTCACTTGGCCAATCGGAGAACGCATTGTTTCTCAGGTCACTTAGCAAACCCCGAGCGGTCACTTAGCCAACTCTCGATTTTTTGGCTTGGGGTTTCCTTTCCGGATTCAGGGTTTAGGGTGTCCCTTACGGTTTCGGGCTTGGGGTTTAGGGATTAGAGTTTAGGGTTTCCTTTTAGGGTTTAGGGTTTAGGGTTCAGGGTTTAAGGTTTGGGGTTTAGGGTTTAGGGTTTAGGGTTTCGGGTTTATGGTTTCCTTTTAGGGTTTAGGGTTCAGGGTTTAGGG